CTTTGTGCTTAATTACAAACAAGCGCATAAACATTCCGTAATCAGTGGTCTAACTATTTAATAAAACTATGAAACAATATATATACCCTTGCTCGATGCTCCCCAAACATCCAGGGCCCAGCATGGCCAGGTGGATAAGACGCTCGACTCGCAATCTGAGAGTCGCAGGTTCGAATCCCCGTCCCACCAAACATGCTCGCCCTTTCAGCCGTGGGGGCGTTATTATGTGACGGTCAATCCCACTATTCGTTGGTAAAAGAGTAGCCCAAGAGTTGGCGGTGGGTGGTGAAAACTAGCTGCATTCCCTCTAGTCTTACACTGCTAAATTAGGGACGGCTAGCGCAGATAGCCCTCGTGTAGCTTTACGCGAAATTCAAAAACAAACAAACCAAACATCCAAAGTAATTTAAAATATTTCTGCCTGAAACAAAACCGGTGTAAATTGTTATTTTAATTGTTTGACAGCACCGTTTTTGCTTGTTTCTTTGTTTGCTTGTAATTAATCACAATGGGCTATCTGTACTGTGCTGGCCACTAGGGGGCGCACTGTTTTTAATAGGTTGAGGTGGAGTTTCCGTTTAATATTGATTTTTTACCTATATATTAAGGTATTTTAAAAATTCTAATCGTGATATCTGTTTTTCATCTTTTTCTAAACATGATGACTTTACTTTATCTTAAATGATATTTAGAGTAATAATAAAAAAATCTATCCGGAGAAAAGTAAATTGATTGTTATTATTATTCCAATTCATACTTAAAATAATGAACTATTGTTGGATAACAGTCTAAGAAGTAAAAGGTAGCAAAGATCTCTATAAAGATTTTTACTATCTTCAGCTATCATTTAAATGGGCTCGCAATGGCCAGATGGTTAGGGCGCTCGACTCGCAATCTGAGGGTCGCTGGTTCGAATCCTGTCACACCAAACATGCTCGCCCTTTCAACCGTGAGGGCGTTATAATGTGACGGCCAATCCCAGTTCGTTGATAAAAGAGTAGCTCAAGAGTTGGCGGTGGGTGATGATGACTAGCTGTCTTCCCTCTAGTCTTACACTACTAAATTAGGGACGGTTAGATCATATGGCCCTCGTGTAGCTTTGCGCGAAATTAAAAAACGCACAAATAATTAAAATGTATTTCGTATTAGTTTTTCAAGAAATGTTAAATCTCGCTAAGATTATGCAAAAAGATTGCATTTCAGTGATAGGCCTGATTGTTTGTTTGTTTATTGAATTTCGCGTAAAGCTAATCCAGAACTATCTGCGCAGCCGTCCCAAATTTTAAAGTGATAGATTAGAGAGAAAGCAGCTATTCAACACCACCCACCGCCAACTCTTAGGGTACTCTTTTACCAATGAATAGTGGAATTAAACGTCACATTATAACGCCCCCACGAATGAAAGGACGAGCATGTTTGGTGGGACGGGGATTCGAACTCGCGACCCTCAGATTGCGAGTCGAGTACACTAACCACCTGGCCATGCCAGGGCCTGTGGCCAATTAGAAATTAACTGAGCTTCTTAATACCTGGCATAGTATGTATTATTCTATAACGTCTATGTTATGTTTTAGCAGTCTAGAGAAATAAAAAATGCCTGAATTAACGAAGTAGAAAATAAGTTAAAACTATATGGCTGTCGGTATTATTTGATGTCAGCTCTTGGTATGATGTCATTATTTGTTCTGGTTCCATTTAAGTTTGAAAATTATTTGGTAATACAAAACTGATTTGTTAAGCGCAACTGTTTACGTGCGAGTTTAAACCAAAATTAATATATAACTTTTTTTGTGTTGTTTTTTTCGCACTGTGGTTCTGTCCAAAAAAACAACTTAAATGGCACAAAAATATTTATAAGGAAAAATAGTGTCCATTAAATAATTCTGCTAGTTTTACTGAATTCCATTTTACTTTTTAAGATCCCAATTTGTGATACAATTTTATTTAACTTTTTTTTTTCAGAAACAAAACTATTACTGGTATTTGCGTAAATATCGCCTTTATACTAGCATCTGTAATATCCATAGCTCTGGTCACCCACTACAAAGACTTTCCTCCAGTCCAGTTGTTAATAAATCCTGATCTGAGGTGATGTACGTTTTGTTAAAATAAATAGAAATTAATTATAAAAATTTTATTAAACAGCAGGTAATTGCGTAAAGACATATTAGAAGTTGCATAAAAAAAATGCACACAATCTCATAGGTAGATAGATAGATAGACAGACAAATAGATAGATAAACAGACAGATAGATAGATAGACAGACAAATAGATAGATAAACAGACAGATAGATAAACAGACAGATAAAGAGATAGATAGTTAGACAGACAAATAGATATATAAACAGACAGATAGATATATAAACAGACAGATAGATAGACAAATAGAGAGATAGATAGATAGATATATAGATAAACAGATAAACAGATAGATAGATAGATATATAAATAAACAGATAGACAGATAGATATGTAGATAAACATACAGACAGATAGTAAGATAAACAGACACAGACAGATAGAGAGATAAACAGACAGACAGATAGTAATATAAACAGACCCAGACAAATAGATAGATAAACAGATAGACAGATAGATAGATAAACAGACAGACAGATAGATAGATAGATAAACAGACTGATAGATAGTAATATAAACAGACATAGACAGATAGATAGATAAATAGATAGACAGGATGAGTAATGACCGTAATTTAATCTCTATTCCGTGATATAGTCAACAAGCAGAATTCGCCCAGAAGCTATATTTTCTACCGTACACACATCTTGGACCATTTGCTATTGGCCTACTCCTTGGGTACGTTTACTGGAAAAATCCACAGCTCAAGTTTACAAAGGTAAGTTATCAAGTCTCAAGTATTTTCTTTGTTTAAAAATAAAACATGTAAAATTATTATCAGATTGTTTGTTTGTTTGTAGTGACAAACTAGAGGGAAGGTAACTAGTTAATAACGCCCATCGTCAACTCTCGAGTTACTCTTTACCAACGAATAATGGGGTTGGTCGTCCCATCATAACGCTACCACGTCTGAAGTGAAAAGTCTGTTCTATAACGGGTTTCTAACTCGAGAATCACAGATTGCGAGCTTAGCACACTCATCACCAAGCCACGCCAGGCCTACTTATCAAACAACGCATAAAACTCACTTCCAGACTTATTTTGATTTTATAATATCATTCAATTTAATCCATATGAAAATTTATCACTGGATAAAACATGTAACTCTCTCCTCCCTCAAAAAACAACATTTTCCCCAGACGTGGACCGGGCGTGGCTAAGTATTTAGCATGCAAGACCGTAAGTCGGGAGTTTCAAGTTCACGTCTTATTGCGCTCAATTCGCAATCTGCGGGTCGCGGGTTCGAATCCCCGTCACACCAAACATGCCCGTGGGGGCGTTATAATGTGACGGTCAATCCCACTATTCGTTGGTAAAAGAGTAGCCCAAGGTGGTGATGACTAGCTGCCTTCCCTCTAGTCTTACGCTGCTATATTAGGGATGGTTAACGCAGATAGCCCTCGTGTAGCTTTGCGCGAAAAACGAAAAACAAACACACAGACAGTCTTGTTGCGCAAAATTCACGTTCTGCACTTTGGGGTCATGGGTGTGTTATAAGAATGATGTTCAAGAGTTGTTATTGTGTAATTTTTTACTAGCTGTCTTCTTTCTGGGGTATCAGTTCAAAATTATGGATAGCTATTGCATATATCTGTTATATGAAGACACATCTTATGTTTTCTATCTGCTTTTATCAATGTAGGATTTTTTTAATATTTTTTGGTTTAATTAGTTCCTGTGCGCCTTTGATACAAGCACGTGGTCCAGAAAACCTTTGAGATTTGCTTTGTGTCTTGTGTTCTCTATAGCAGATAAAATCCAATCTGCCCTCGGGCATGTTGCGGTACGTCAGTGTTGAAAACGTCAACTACTGAAACGTCCATGACTGGCCGAGTGGATGATATTGTATGTTACAGCCAATTATCTTTATAATACATTGACTAATCATATGGTGAAGCTGTCAAAAAACAACAACAACAAAGGAACTAAGGTTTCTTCATCAATACAGAGTCTTAACTTTACAAAGTTATACATGGTCATCATCGTGCTTGTGTTGAAGAGAAGAAAAAAACTGTCAATTAAAATAGGGCTATTGTGCACTTTTTCTACGCAAGTACGCAAGTATTTTTATCTTTTTGTTGCTGTTGGACCCCAAAAAAAAATATTGTTTTCACTTTTAATCAAATTTATCCATTCTGTTTATTTTTCGTGCACCTTAAAACTCATCAGTTTTTAAATTCAGATTGGTCCACCAGGGAGCTATTAAGCATGCCTATTTAATATTTGCGCTGAAATCAATTTACCTTAGAACAACACATAGCCTTAGTGTAGCTTTGCACCAATACCAGCAACAATAAAACAAAAACCTTCAGGCATTAACTTGAAAGAATAATTAAAAATACTAAGAACTGGCAAATCTACATCTTTGACCATTGACCCGTTCTAGATAAAAGCTACTTTTAAGATCAAAACAATCGGGGCAATAGCGTTAATACTTTGAAAACCTGTAATGAAATAGTTATATTAAGACTACATGCGTCCATAACTCAAGTTAATATAACTATTTCATAACACAAATATTCGAAATAACAAAACCAGACCTTCAGATATTACTCATATATGTCGCGACTTTGTACCTAGTGTCATTCATTGTTTGTAATTGTAATTAAGCACAAACCTATACAATGGGCTATCTGTGTTCTACCCACCACGGGTATCGAAACCCGGATTCTAGCGTTGTAAGTTCGCAGACATACCGCTGTGCCATTCAACATGATATTATGAAATTTATGTAATTTTTATCAACTTTTCATGATTTTGCAACAATCAATAAGAAACGACCGTTCTCTCGAATAATCCTTTTTTTTTAGTGGATATTTATCAAAGGATTATTAAATTAACAGTTTCTGTCAATATTATTCGTCATAGATTTCACATCTCGTTTAATAAATTCTGACTTTAGAATTATTTTTTTCGTAAGTTGAATTTCTTTTAATCATTCAGTTAGAATTTTTATACTCCAAATGTAGAATCATTCTTGGAAAAACTTACAAGCTCAGAATAATTCTTCTTTAAATTAAGTAATGTTTGTTGAAGCTAATTATTTGATAATGAATGTCGGTATCAGTCGTCTTTATACCATACGTGACCAGTTTTAAGTTGTCTACGATGGTCTACAAACCAGGCACAGATTAAAATCATTTACACTGCTGTAGAGCATCTGTTCATTTCAGAAGGGAACAGATAATTGGTTATTAAGTATAATTAAAGCTTAGCACACTTAATTATTACCCATTAACGAGTGTGAAAATACATCAATAAATAGTTCATAATTAAAGCTTGTTCATGTATTTTCACACTCGTTAATGGGTAATAATTAAGCGTGCCAAGCGTTAATTATGAACTATTTGTTCATGTATTTTCACACTCGTTAATGGGTAATAATTAAGTGTGCCAAGCGTTAATTATGAACTATTTGTTCATGTATTTTCCCACTCGTTAATGGGTAAGAATTAAATGTGCTAAATAGTTCATAATTAACGCTTGGCACACTTAATTATTACCCATTAACGAATGTGAAAATACATGAACAAATAGTTCATAATTAAAGCTTAGCCCATTTAATTCTTACCCATTAACGAATGTAAAAATACATGAACAAATAGTTTATACACTCAGTTATAAGAAAATAGTTTATTTCAACTTAGTTGTACATTGTTATTTTGTTAAGAAAAAAATATACCCAATAGATTATCTGTGCTTTGCCCACTGGAGGTATCGAAATCTGATTTTGAGCTTTATAAGCCAACAGACGTGTCGCCGAGCCACTGGCAAGCATTAGTTGTACAAAACACGTTTATTTGTTGTTAAGCGCAAAGCTACACAATAAGTTATCTATGCTCTGCACACCGCGGGTAGGAAACCCGATTTTAACATTAGAAACCCTACGACTTGACGCTGAGTAACAGGTGGGATAAGGTAGGGGGGGGGCTGAGAAGACACGTAGGATCTAAAAGTTTGGTAAATCACATTTTTAAAAAAATCTGATAACATCCCCAGCGTGTTTGACAGATGGACGTCTCTTCATACTGGTGATGCATCTATCCAAACATATTAACACACAAAAATTTAAAAAATACATTAAATTATTAGGTATTTATATCTTTATTCTTATGTTTGTTACCATATATATATATATACATATGTTGTTTTGACAAAGAATATCAAGGTATTAGGATGGCCGCTGGCATTTGGTTTCAATATGGCAGTTGTGTATGGAGTTTACCCTTGGAATAATGGAGCTGAACAAAGTCGACCTGTAGTTATATTGTATGCTGCAACACATCGTATAGTGTGGACGTTAGGTGTTGCTTGGGTAACAATGGTCTGCATTACTGGACAAGGAGGTAGGTCCAGTGACAAACATAATATAAATTACATCTTTTGGTTAACGTTAACTATTCAACTAATACATATCAAATGTTGTTATAATAACAAAAACAAAAACCTGTGATATTTCTTAACCCAATCCGTGATTTGCCCGAGATAACTCTGGCTCCCTCAGCGTTATCAAAAAATACTTGCCCGAGCAAATCAATTATATCTCGCCGTATTTTTAAATGTTGCCCGAATTTATTCGCATGTTATCACATGTTACAATCAGTGCTCGCTAGATGGTATTGGAAATGTTGTTGCACTGATGTCCATCGGATTTATACTGAAGCATGTGTCATAAACACTAGCGAAAATCGTTCCTACTATGCACTGTAATTTCATTGACATGATATATATATCACGCGCAAATCCATATATTTAACGTTTATTTATCGAGTATATTTTGTTCAGAAATACAATAACAGATCATATAAATACTCTTGTTTAATTAATATATATAAATATGGGCAATTAAAAAGCGAAATAAACAGTTTTGACTTTTTCGAGCTCATTTCTAGAAAACAAAGAAAAAGCCTGACACGGAAGGGGTTAAATAGTTCACAAAAAAACGTATTTTTTTATATATATTGTAAACATTAACTTATCTAATGCATTTTTGTCAACGAAATTACAAAATAAAATTCGAACTGATAAATAGTTTGCTTTCCAACATGTCATAAAGAGCTTATTTTACCTTAAATATATATCAATAGTTCACGTTGTTCAGAGGTTCTAATAGTTGCGGTAGCTACTAACTTACAACTTCCAGTTATACATAGGTTCTAATAGTTGCAGTAGCTTCTAACTTACAACTTCCAGTTATACATAGGTTCTAATAGTTGCGGTAGCTACTAACTTACAACTTCCAGTTATACATAGGTTTCAATATCTGCGATAGCTACTAACTTACAACTTCCAGTTCTACATAGGTTACAATATCTGCGGTAGCTACTAACTTACAACTTCCAGTTATACATAGGTTTCAATATCTGCGTAGCTACTAACTTACAACTTCCAGTTCTACATAGGTTACAATATCTGCTGTAGCTACTAACTTACAACTTCCAGTTATACATAGGTTACAATATTTGCTGTAGCTACTAACTTACAACTTCCAGTTATACATAGGTTACAATATCTGCTGTAGCTACTAACTTACAACTTCCAGTTCTACATAGGTTACAATATCTGCTGTATATGTTAGCTTACAACTTTTATATTATTACTGAGGTTTCCACACTAAATAGAAATTAAACAAATCTTACATAATCTATGAAGTTTTTTGAAGAAAATAACTTAAAACTTTTGTTTATAAAATACAAGTAGATCATTTCAACTCATAATCATTTTAGAAGTATCAAGTAATTAAATAGTTACTTTAAAAAAATTTTCACCATTATTGTTTGTTTTCAGGCGAAGCTACAGAACGGACCATCTGTTCTGAGTGCGCCAATTGTAGCGTTATGAGCGTTAAAGCTTACCACTGAGCCACCAGGGGTTTTCGCTAATACATAAACTAAAAAAGAACCAAACTAACATGGTTGTATTAAAAACACCCTCTTTATAAAACAAAACCTTTTACGGAAGAAAACGCGCGAATCTTTGATTCAAAAATAGACAATGAAAACCTGTAATCAATTAGATTAAGCAAATCAACTAGAAATTTCTTAATTATAAATAGAAATAGTATGCTAATTAAAAACTCGTCAACAGTGTTATTTTGCCTTTTTATTGCTTTTTTTATACTTATTTTAATTTAGTCTCAAATAAAAGTCTATGTATATTACAACGCCATTTATAAAAATGTTAAACAAATGCTGTATCAGAATATCATCCAACATGTAACCTTCTTTTTTTTATTTTAGGTATCATCAACAAAATTCTTTCTTGGAAGTGCCTAATTCCATTGAGTAGAGTAACATTGGAAGTCTACCTACTTCACCCATTGTTACAGTGGTTGTACATGGCTTCACTCCACGACAGGATCTATGCAAGTCATTATAGTGCTGTAAGTGTTTCTTGGATATCAGTGTGGTGATCACGTAACAAACAAGTTAATATTTTATGTGTTTTCTATATCTAACCCATTAAGCAGATTAACACTGGAAATCTACCTTATTAACTCATTGATTAACCATGGGTCAATAAGATAGACTTGTTATGTCACTCTGCCTCTACAACTACTGTCAGTAGTTGTAAAAGCAGAGTGACATAACAAGTCTACCTTATTGACCCATGGTTACAGTAGTTGTAGAGGCAGAGTGACATAACAAGTCTACCTTATTGACCCATGGTTACAGTAGTAGTTGTACTTGGTAGAGTAACATTACAAGTCTATCTTTTTATTTCATGGTTACAACGGTTGTATACCACAAAATAACATTAGATATTGTACTCTGTATATCCCACAATAAACAAGTTTTAAGTTTTATGTAACAGAGTAATTCCTTTAATTATTTGTTTGCAAGTATTATTATGCAAATTTTAATGTATATTAGTATTTGTCATAAAGGTCTGTATCACTCTATAAGTGTATTATTATCAATATGGCATAGGCTTACGTTCAAATATCAGAGCTTTATGTTACAGGAAAATTTTACCTCTATATAATAATTTTTTTCAATATTTCTTAAGAAAATCTGGTTCTTAACATGTGTTCTAACGTAACCAGAACTTCGTGATCATTTCCTTTTGAGACTCAGTATAGTTTTTCTTTACTTACTTGTACAGGACTGATTATGTTATATTAAAATTATTTTGAATGTGCATATCATTAAATCACTTCACCACCACAGCCGGTCTAAACTCGGGGTGGAATGCTATGTATCAAGACTACATTTTGACATTGTTTGACGTCCAGTAGATCGCTTTGGGAAGGTTATGTAACAGTCCTTTTCGATGCAAAGTATTGATACATTTAGATCATAAAGATGTATTCAGATTGGATATTTAGAATTTCCAAGAGAAATATGTCTCTTATACTTTAGAAACTACACAAATATGGATCAACTTAGTGCACCAGGACCACCCAGAAAGATACCCACAACAAGTCGAAACCCAGGCATGATAAGCAAAGTATGCCGTCTTGTAAAATTTGAGAATCCACGACACAGTGATCAGTAGCAAAAGCAGCCCATGTGCCTCAGACAACAATGCCACCATAGTCAAGAAATATCTCTACCTAGAAAAGGGACACAAATCACATTTACACACTCGCTTCTACAACATATCAATTCAAATTTTGCATACCTTATGCAACTTGAAAAATGAAGCAGGAATTCATGCTTTTCTATATGAAGACATAATGGTAAAGTCGCTGGATCTTAACTCCTATGGTTTTATGTGCAATCAGAATATTTAAATAAGCATTAGAAAACTGTCATCCTTATACTAAATGGATTATAGAAAGTCTCAGAAAGGAGGAATGTGTTTTGAAAATAACAGTCTTAAGACAAAGACTACGCTGCAGGGGTATTAACAAAATGTATGGTCAGCAGATAAAGCATGACCTGACCGGCGATAGGAACTGTAAACTACATGGTGTGGCTTCAAAATCGTTTTAATATAACGTACTAAACCTCTGTATAATAAATATTATGAGAATTCCTAATTTTGCCCATACATGTTTTAACTTGAAATGATATACGTGTGAATAAACATATGTATATAACTAAATGTTCACATATTTAAATACAAAATTTACTTGAAAATTATTAAGGGTATACTGTGTTAACAGAAGATTGTCTAGAGAACGAATTAACTGCACGCTGAACAATCTGCACATTCGCTTAAATAAAATTATTGTTTATTTGTTGTTAAAGCACAAAGCTACATAATATGCTATCAGTACTTTGGCCAGTGCAGGTATCGAAACCCTATTTTGAGCATCATAACTCCTCAGACATAATGTTTATAAGGGGACAAATAAGGCGCTAAACAGGAAATCGCATGAAGATGGTTATCATCCGTCAAGAACAAATTTTGTTTGTTTGTTTGTTTGTAATTAAGCACAAAGCTACACAATGAGCTATCTGTGCTCTGCCCACCATGGCTATCGAAACCTAGATTCTAGTGTTGTAAATCCGCTGACATACCGCTGTGCTACTGGGGGGCCAAGAACAAGTTAATAGTCGGAACAAAACAAAAAATAGCGAAACAGTTGGAATGTTAGTAAATCATACCTTTCTGTTTCTACTTTATCACACGATATTGTCCTATATTTCGCGTTATTTTTCACTATTTGGTTTTCCTTTTTAGCATTTAATTTAACTAAACGTGCAGTATTTTTTTCTTCTTTTTTTTACGTCGTTCTAATTCCTTCCTTAACTGGTACCCTGTTCATGGAAACGCTGACCTCCTTTGATTATCTGCTTATCGTTACTGAAATATAACAGGAATTTCATGCTTAAGCTTTCAGTCATTGTCTCGCGAAAACTTGAGAATAAACGTGAGTTACACGGTTGTGGCCCGGCATGGCCAGGTGGATAA